TTCACAACCAACGCTTACAGATTTTCCACATCTTACTCCAACTCTAGCTCTTGATGGGGTACAGTTTGAGATTAAACCCCAATTTATAACAATGATAGAAAGGAAGCAATTTAGTGGAGCTAAGGGTGAAGACCCAAATCTTCATATTGCAGACTACTGTCAGTACTGTAATACCATCAGGCAAGCTAGGGTCACACAAGACCAAATCAGGGACATTCTCTTTCCTTTTTCTTTAACTGGAAAAGCCAAATTATGGTTTAATGGTTTAAATAGAACTGCACTAGGTATAACTGACTGGGAAACTCTTGTTTTGAATTTTTATAACAAATATTATCCTGCAGAGAGAACGGCTGTACTACGGAGTGCAATTCAGAACTTTGCCCAAGAAGCCGATGAAACTTTATATGAGGCTTGGGAGAGGTTCAAGGACCTACAAAGAGAATGCCCCCACCATAATCTGGCATAATGGCAGTTAATCCAAGCCTTTTACAATGGCATTGGAAATTCATCTAGAATAATATTGGATTCTGCAGCTAGTGGGAGGTTTATGAACCTTAATGTTGATGATGCAGGTCAAGTTATTGAAGATATGACGATACATAATTCCCAATATGAGAATCAAAGAGGCTTTGCTAACAAGGGGAAGCATAGTGTTGACTCTGTATCCTTTTTGCAAGCTCAATTAACCTCTATCTGCCAGAAATTAGATAATCTTAAAACTACAAATGTAGCTAATGTTTTTTTTGCAATTAATAATAATACTAATGAGGCTTTTTGTGAAAATTGTGTAATTTTAGGTCATTGGGAACTAGATTGCAGGAGTTCCGTGGAGCAAGTCAATGCCTTTCAAGCTTATAGGCAGGATAACCCATACTCCAATATCTACAATCCTAGGTACCAGAATCATCCGTACCTTTCCTACTGGAGTACCAATGTTCAAAATCCACCACCACCACAAGAACCACAGGCGCCACAACAACAATAGCAGAAATATTACCACCCCAATGCTGGCCAGAAGAACCAACCACAACAACCCTCCTCATCTTCCGACCCTGCTTTGGTAGAAATTAGAGCGATGCTGGCTAATATGCAGAAGCACATGGAGAGTAGAGATGCCCAAATTGATTCAATCCTAGCACGCAATAAAATTGTAGATAATCAAATTGCGCAACTTTCCGCTACTCTACAAGCCCGTCAACAGGGAGCCCTGCCAGCACAGCCGACCAGGCCTACGGATCAAGCCTATGCAATTATTCTAAGGAGTGGTTCAAACTATGAAGGGCCCCTTATGCCCAGAGATGATGAACCTGTTCTAATAAATAATGCTAATCTTGATTCCGTTAAACCTAACAATGTAGCTAATAGCCCTGCAGGGCTAAAGAATGATACTAATATATCTGATTTTACATTGCAGGGTACGACTCCAGGGAAGGTGGCAACTCCAGATAAAAGCAGTAATGCTCCAAAGCCAGTTATCAAACTTCCATTCCCCAATCGTCACTTGAAAACAAATTTGGATAAGCAGTTTGGTAAGTTTCTGGAGATGGTTAAAGATTTGTAAAAAACAGCTCCCTTCACTGAATTAATTACACGAATTCCTGAATATGCAAAATTTATGAAGGAAATATTGACACGAAAAAGGTCTATTAGTGAGGTAGAGACAATAGCTTTCACTGCAGAGTCTAGTGCCGTACTTCAAAATAAATCTCCACCTAAATTAAAAGATTCAGGTAGTTTTTCTATCCCTTGTCATATTTGCAATCTAATAATTGATAATGCATTACGTGATTTGGGCGCAAGCGTTAGTGTTATGCCATTATCTGTGTGTTCCAAGCTAAATATGGGTAAATTAAAAGCTACTAATATTACTCTACAAATGGCTTACCGTTCTTTTAAATACCCCCTTGGTGTTTTAGAGGATGTTCCTGTTAGAGTAGGTAAATTTTATATACCTGTTGATTTTGTTGTTCTTGATATGGCTGAGGATATGCAAACCCCAATTATTTTGGGTAGACCATTTCTTAACACTGCAGGTGCAATTATTGATGTGAGATGTGGCAAATTGACACTATAAGTGGGGGACAATAAAATCATTTTTAATCTTAATAATACCCCTAAAATCCCCATGACAGAGTGACAAGGTATTACTCGCGTCGTTAAACGACTATCCCTAGATGAAATACAATTTATACAACCTAAACAAACCTAATATGAGTATAAGGCAAGCATAGGGGTCGAACCACAGGGAACGAATAAACACCACCAAATGTTATCGATAATTAAGCTAGTCCGGAATAAGAGATAAATAAACTAAAGTCTAAAGATGCTAAAACAAGAAATAAAACATTAAGAGAAAAGGTTTAGGTATAGCATTCACTTGAACATAAACAAAGGCATAGAAATTGAATTAATTATGAACTAAACATGCTCGAATATCGAAGTAAAGGATCCAATCTAGCCGCCTTCCGGGGTCAATTGGCTTCTCCCAACATAGCCTCTATGCTTCCACATTAGAACCATATACTAGGAGGTGCAATCAAAGAACAATCTATAGTAGTGACCTTAACTAAGTCAACTTCCGTTCCTTGTTAGCAAAGATTCACCTTTAATCAACTAACAATGTGAACTTGCATGAAGATTAAAGAATATCAAGCATATAAATACTTTAATCACAAATAAATCAATTCTAAAACCTAGAACATGCTCATGATCCAACTACACCACAATCATCCCCTTAATGGGGAAATTACTCACTAATCATGCTAATAACAAGATTAATCAACAAATAATCAAGAATAAACATGATTAATAAGCAATACCAACAACTAAAATAATAATCAAAAGAAAGCACTAAAAATAGAGGAGAGAGAGTTAGAGATTCTCATTGATTGAATGTGAAAATCTACAAACAAGATGATCAATCTTCTTCTTCAATATCCAAGCTCAACAATGGTGAATCCCTTACTTTCTCTCTCTAAACAACTCTAATCCTAACCTAAACCTAGAGAGAGAATCTCTCCTAAAAACTAATTAGAGAATAGAATAATTGGTAATTCTTCCTTCCTTAATTATCCCAAAAATAGGTATTTATACTAAGCTAAGAAAATACTCAGTAAATAAAAGAAAAGAAAATAAAGTAAAAAGGAAAAATAAAATAAGAAACTAATTATTATAAAAATAAAAGAAAGAAATAAGAAATCAGACCCCAACTCTTCTTCTTCGATTTTTCGGCTGCTTTGAACTCCATTGAAGCGCCTCACCATCACCACCGTTCATTAACCATCATCATCAAATCGTCACCGCTCATCCTCCTTGTTTATCATCAAGCATCAAATAAAAACCGTTCGATCTTCATTAATTATCACGCGCGAAGCTCGTGAAATGGTTCGGTCGAACCATGAGTTGGTGTGGCTGAACTACGGGGTTGGTTCGGTCGAACCATGGGTGTGTTCGAACACACCTCCTCAATTTAGAAAACTTCTAATGTTTTTGACTCTTTTTGCATTTCGATTGAACTCCTCAACAATTTGCCCGAACCATGATAATTCGTAATTTCCTCTGATTTTGCTCTATTTCTTGCGCGAATTGGTAGGGTGGTTGTCGGAATTGGCGCGGCTGCTGCTTTAATTGATGTTGGGCTAGTGGTGAAGTGGCTGTGACTGTTGGTGATTGAGAATGATGGTGCGGCTGCTAGGTGCTGCTGTTCGAATTGGAACAGGGGAATTGGTTGATTGTTGTGGGTTTTGTTGGACGGTAGTGCAGGGTTTGAGCAGGTGGCCGTTTGTTAGCTGTTGGTTTATGGCTGATTGTGGTGGAAGGAGGCAGCAATGGTGTGGTTGGTTGGTAATTGGTGGTTGCCCGGAGAGGTGTATTGAGGTGGCTGGTGCTGGTGAATTCGGGGGCTAATGGGTTGGTGTGAAATGGTGGTGGCACTGTGGTGATTTTGGTGGTAGATTGGAGGTGAGTGCGGTGGCGATGGTTGTTGGGTAGGTGGGGATCTGGTTGTGGTCGTGAGAGGTGGTGAGAGCAGGTACGTGGATTGGGTGGAGATGGAGCAGGGGAATTGGTTGTAGGTGGTGTTGTTGCGGATTGGTGGTGGGTTGCTGCTAGGTGCGTGAGGGAGCAGGGGAATTGGTGTGGTGGAGGTTAAGAAGGTGGGGTGATGGATAAGATGTAACACCCCGTATTTTTGAACCATTATTTTATGTGCATTTAAACCTAGTAAACCTAATTTCTAATTTAAATATCAATTTCGAAATTGAAATGTTGATTTCGTTATTTTAATATAAGGGTAATCCCAAGCTTTTGAAACCCTAATTATAATATTTTGACAAAACGTTTGAAAGTTATTATTTAAAAGGGTTCTATATTTGAGTTTTAATCATTTCAAACTGTATTTGACTTATCTGAATTGATATTAGCTTTAAAGGGTGATTCCTTAAGTTTAAGTGTCAATTTAGATATTTAACCTATTAAAATTGATACAGGTCATCATGCTGATTCCTTGACTAAAGTGTCAATTCTATATGTATAAAATGATTTTAGGGTTTTTAAGACGTTTTACGTTCAATTGTATCAATATCGATAAGTAAAGTGGTATTGGGTGATTCCGTCAACTCGTTTATCGAATTGATATTGTTTATAAATGATTCTTTATTTTATATTTATAAAACTCATTACAATGTCCTTTAATTATTTAGGTCATTATAAATGAATAATATTATTGGTTTTGCATTTCGTCTTTTATGTTGCTCTTTGGTACATATGACCTATATATAAATATTTTTTTGTATTGTGATTTAAATTGTTATTTTCATTATTATTATTGAGATATCAATAATACAATCTATATTGTTGTTTTTTAACGCATTTTAAAATGCCGTCCGTTACTTTCCTTTCCTGGTCTAATTTTGGGTCAACTAGCATTTATATATTGGTCGGGTTTTTGCTCAAAACTTCCATGACTAAATATATTAGGATAAGCTTGTTTATTAGCTTTCCTAATTCCATTCTTAAGCCTACATTAATCCTTCAATCAAGCCCATAAGTGTAGCTTAAGTTAGGGTTATTTGAAGCTCATTTGAAGCCCAATTTCTCTCCCTTTTCACGGCAGCCACAAGGCTTGATTACTGCTCAAATTCAATTCAAAGTAACCCCCATATTTACCCTCATTAAGCCTAATTAAACCCAACAATTTACTGCCCCAAACCCTTTCACTTCCTCTTCTCATTTCACGTACAAAGAAGTCAGTTTTCTCCACCCAAAAGATGCAGCAAATCACTCCTCTTCTCCCCATCTTTTTCGTGGAATTCAAGGTGGGAATCAAGGGGAAATCAAAGCTTAACTTGCTGCCATAATCGTTGCCAAAATCGTGCTCTATCTCTCCTCTAGAACAAGCAAAAACGAGGCAAGGGAACAAGACTGTTTGGGTGGGTGTTGTGCGTGTGATTGCTACTGTTTGTGTGCGGTGTTGCTCTCCTTTTCTTTGGGTTTTGGTGGCCTATATATCAAGGTAACTAGCCTTTCTTCCCTTAGATTAGAAATGCTAGGTTTTAGGGTTGAATTGATGGGTAGAAATCATGTTAGGGTTAGGAATGGTTTCAATTTTCGTATGTAGTGAGTATGTCTGGTTTCGGAATGGATTTGGCCCTATTTTATGTGTTTAACACATGAATTTCATGCCTAGTTTGATTTACTATCAATCCCTAATTGTTTTATGATGTTTTTGATGTGTTTTAATCAAGTTATAACATGATTTTGGGGCTTACAAGTATGATGTACGTGACTGATGTGTGTGTGTGAGACTGCTGTTTCTGTAGTTCTTTCTGGTCATGGTTAAGCCTTAATTTCAATGACTATATTTCATATTATTGTAGAGGATTGTTTTACGACCGATTTGATATATTATGGGTAAAATTCGGAGGTGTTTAAGGCCTCAAAATGACTGATTTTGTGAGACAAGTTGTGCTGCCAACGTGAATTAAGAACGTGATGTTAGATTGAGTTTATGAGCATGTATATATCTTATATTTGTGACCAATTGAATATATCTTCCAGGTTGTCATGTTAGGATTATTTTGGAGTTTATACCATAGCGAAATTCCATGTTTATATGCAAAATTCTATCTTTTTATGAGCATGTATATTCTAAACTCTTGGATTGCTGACAGCATGTTTAGTATATCTTCTTAGGTCTTAAATTAATTATCTTGATTGATTTTATTGCCTAATTTGAATTAGCATCATGTTAGGATATTACCTAAATTGATATAGCATGATTTTATATAATTTAAGATAGTTTAAAGTGCCTAAATTAGTGCAACATAGCTGCTGCCCCTAATCTGCTAGGCGTGTGAAGGATGGTGATTTTCAATTGTGTATTCCTTGATTTCTAAGCGCAAATGCATATTTAATATTGCCTGTTGTGTTTTTAGAGTGTACTAAAATGGGCTAAGCTTAGTTTCATGTTTAAGGTGGGTTTTTGGGTGATTTGGTATAATTGGTACTGCCCTACATTAGTGTAGGGGCTGCTGTAAATATGACTTTAATTTGTCATGTTCTCTTTTTAATTTTAAGTCTGGAATGGTTTTATATGATGCCTAATGAGTGTATGTATATGCCTTAATTTTTATTTTGCATTTTAAGCATGTTTGGTTGGGTTTTTATGATGATTTTCGGAGTTACTTGTTGCTGTCCTGTTTTGGTTGTTTTATGAAATTCTAGTTTGGATTTGTTGTTTAATAAAATGAATTTATGGGATTTTTATTATAACTATTATATGTTAGTTGAATTTATATGTTAATAAGTGATGTGTGAATTTTTGGGTATTATAAACCCCTAAAGTGAAATATTTCTATGTGTGTTTGAATATGTGTGGGTTGTAATTGTATTGTCGACGTCGTAATGCTTTAGAGAAGGATAACACTATCTTTAGCATCACTTTGCCAAGAGTTGTGAATGCACTTAATTGTTGAATTTCGATAATTAATTATATTCCCAAACTCAGACGATACCTTTTGTGTTTTATTAAGTTGAAGTGTGTTTTGAAAGGGAGTTTCAATTGAATTTAAGAAATATGATTTTCTTATGCAGTTTGAATTGAGAGTAAGACCATTTTTGGCTTCTCTGCAGATTTCTGAGTGAAATATATTGTATTATCTATTTTAAGTGATTTTTGAATTGTGTGTGGGGCCATAGTCGAGTGTGAGGCCGAGTTGCTTCCCGATGGTTAATGAACATGCTAACTACCTGGATTGCGAGTCTTAGGTAGCTCAACCTGGGTTAATTGTTGTCGTCCGGGGGTGTGTAAGACCTTATAGGCATCTACCCATAACCGGGAGTTGGCCAATCTTAGACACGGTCTCTGCGAGATGACCGGGGGTTCGTCCTGACAAATCTTAGGAAGTGGATTGCGAGGCCACTAGCGTTCCCTCCATGCCAGTTCTACTGTTTTGAAGGTTTTGGTTTTGAAATGTTTAAACTAATAAATTATTACTTATTTGAAGTCTATATATTATTATAATTGAAATTGAGTGATTTAATATTGATATTTCTGTTTTAAGTTTATTTTGAAATATTTCATTGTTTGTATGGTTTGATGGTTTTAAGTGATTTCATTTGAGTTTTCAAGTTGATTTTGGTTATGTTTCTTTCTGTTAATTTAAGTCTAAGATCTTCTATTTCTGATTTGAGGGAGAACTGCTAGTTGCTCCCCACTGATTGTGGAACGTTGTTATAATTTGCAGGTTTCATTTGTTTATTTGATATCTGTGACGCTGGGTTGGGGATTGAGAGTTTAGAACCTAACTTTTAGGCTTGTATGCCTTTGTTGTTAGTTGACTGTTTAATTATTTTGAATTTAGTCTAGTTTGGCCGATAAGGGTTGTTCTGCCCTTGGCTTTTGAATGTAATTGATTTGTCCATGTTAAAGTTTATTTGCTATTTTCTTTTGTTCACATAGTTTGCGCTTAGCTTAAACAACTTAATTTGGATGTGTGAATAAGTTAAATTTGACTTTTAAACCTAGGTTAAGGTTGACTTTTCTAATCGAAGTTAAGTAGCCTCCCGTTCAAGCGTAATTCCGCTAACGCTTCCAGTTCCAAAAGGACGGGGTGTTACATAAGAGGTGGGCAGCAGCCAGCAAAGTAAAGGCACCCACTTTTACTCGTCCCCGAACTCCGAACTTACTTGACATGAAACCCGGGACCCTAAACACAAAACCGAGGAGAAATCAAGGCAAATAAAAAATGAAATAAATAAATTAGGAATAAATAAAGTAAAATAGAAAATAGAGAAAAAACTAACAAAAATTAAACAAAAACTATACAAGCATATAAAGTAAAATAAAATAGACTCAAAACTAATTAAAATAAATAAAAGTAAATTAGAATACTTTCAAGTAAAAATAAAGAACAAAATATAACAAATCAAAAGCAAATAAAATACGAAAATAAACTAATTCTAATAAAAACTACGAAAAGAACTAAAACATGACAAAACTAAGAAATAAACTAGAAACCTTATTAAAGAGAAAACAAGAGAATAAAAGGGAAAATAAGAGAAAATAAACACGAAAATGACTCTAAAATTACTTCCTAAGAGTGACATAAATGTCACTCATCACAGAGGAGAACTTTTTTAGTGTTGATGTGGTTCAAAATTGTTCTAACAAACCCCAAGCTCTTGTAAAAGATCCCTTGGAGGCGGTATCTTGTGTTGCATCCTTTACAGATGAGATAGAAAAATGGTAGAAGGAAGTTGATGCAATAGAAAAAGCCCTCTACACTGTCGGTCTTGGCTTTGAGGATGAAAAGGTTGAATCAAACAAGCAAGTTGTGGAAACTGAGCCTACAATAAGTGTTCCGCCAGATCGAGTTGCAAGTGCTAAATGTAATGATAATTTGAAGCAACCCTCAATCGAAGAGGGATCGTTAATGCGTAGCATTAAAGAGCCCCCAATCCAAGTCAAGGAGGATCCACCAGATAAAGTGAATTGGCGTCCCACAGGGTATGTTAGGAAGCCGCGTCGTGGCCTAAACACCGCTCGACCAGGTGAGAAACCACCCGACCAAGCGTTAGGTCATGGGTCCTAGTTCTTGTACTTAGTAAGAAGGTCGTGCGGGATCTAGATAAACCAGCGCTTTGCGAGAGGCAACCCGTATTTTAACGCTTTTTAGACTAGTTTTTCTTTCTTTTTCTTATGCAAGGAGAGAGGAGGGAATTTTGATGAGTTTTATGAGTTTTTGTACAGGTTTGAAGGAAAAGAGTTAGCCAAAAATTGAAGAGAAGAAAGAAACAAAAAATCGTCCAATTAGCCTCAGGCCCGACCGGGCGCGAGAGCGAGGTTAGAAAATCGGGTGTTTTCTCCCGATCGGGCGCGAAATTTGACGTATACAGACGTTTTCGATAGCCCGATCGGGCGAAGGGCGCCCGACCGGGCGTGAGAGATCGCCCGACCGGGAGCGAGAGGAGAAGGAAATTTGGGCAATCGCCCGACCGGGCGCGAGAGCAGCAAATAAAAAAAAACCCAGATCGCCCCATCGGGCGATAGGCCGCTCGACCGGGCGCGAGACACCAAACACCCTTTTCTTCTTTTTCCTTCTTCTTTCTTACTTCATTTCTCTTTTCCTCCATAACTTTCTCTCTCTAAAACCTTAAAACCTCTACCTTCTCTCTAAGATCTTCTCTTCATTTCTTACCTAAATCCAATAATTTTTACATATTGTTAATCCTCTCTTTATCCTCTACAATCCTATATAAAAATTTTCAAATTTCATTCAAATATTTTTCATATATACCCATTTTTATACTATGGCTTCAAAGAAGGCTCGATCAATTTTCGGTAGGAGTTCTAGTTCGAGGGAGGAGTACGATCCAGATTTGCAACTCTCCTACTGGCCAACGATCCGAGTTGCTAGCCAGAAGCAAAAGGTACGACTAGAACACCTTGCCGGGTGCGAGGTAATTCCTTCACGGTGGTTACACCGCCCTACTCTTGAATCGTATGGTTTGTATGATTTTGTTAAACAATTTTTAAATGATATAGGAATGAGAAAATTCGTTGACATGCATTATCCTACATACCGTGAATTAACATATGAATTTTTGTCTTCTTTGAAAGTTGTAAATAGTAGAAATGGACCGAATTTATTTTTTAGGTTAAACAATAGGAATATTAGTTTGACATCTGTTGAATTCTGTAAATTATTTGAATTGAATTCTGAATTACCATTCCAATGGCATGCTGATTACAAAATGGGTGATATTTATCATGCTCTAACTGGTTTACCTACCCCCGACCCCCAATATGCTAGTACAAAACCTATCCATCACCCTATCCCAAAAATCTGGCAAAGATTTGCGGGTTTGTGTTTTCTTGGTAGGAACGAGCCTCATAACGCCCAAACCAACGAACTAGCTGTTATAGGACACTATGTGTATGGGTTTGGTAAACTGAACTAGGTAGATACATCATCCACCATCTGAGCAGACATGCCATAAACAGTACCCAGTCTCGTACCCCTATTCGTATAAGAGGCCTTATCACTAGAATAGCGGTTAAAAAGGCCGGTTTTGTTGAGAGTGGAACCCACCATATGACCAACTGTGGACCGGATACCTATATGACTGCTAGGTATTTTGAGGAGTTTGATTGGGTACGATTGGATAGTGAGTAGACCCCACTGGTGTATTAGGACTGGGACCGAGCAGCCATTCCCCATCTTTTCCCTACCTAGTCCTGACTTGACCGCCTTTCCCCTCGGGAAAACATCCTACACGTACGACCTTTTAGTTGCCAACGCAAGGGGGAAAGCACCACCTGTACCACCACCAATTCCACCACCCTAGCCTGAGCCTGAGGTAGCGTTTTCTCCACCTCGCATGTCTCACTCCGTCCCCCATGTTGACTCTGACCAAGTTTGGGACCTTCAGAGTATAGGTCAGGTGTTAGGCCGTATCGAGCATTCTCACACTGACCTTAGGAGGATGGTAGGCTCCATTGACCATAGGTTAGGGTACCTTGAGAGGAACCAGGGTAGAGCTCTCTACCCTATGTATGATGATTATGCTCGTTGGGGCGACATTCTCGACGATGCTATTTACCCTGACTGGTTTCAGCCTCAACCCCAGGGATACGATAGGGATCCCACTGCCCATGGTATTTATATTGACTATTCTGCCTTCCATGGGTATGGCCAGGACATTCCTTTTGGGGGACCGGCAGGGGGGAGTTTTCATGATGATTATATTGGTGGTAGCTCTTCTGGTGAAGGTGGTGTAGGTGGCAGTGGAGGTGGAGGTTTCAGCTCCATGGATGAGGATGATGAGGACTAGCTATGCTAGGCTAGCTCCCGAGCCAATGAGGACATTGTCTAATTTTGGCTTGGGGGAGATTTTGGATTTGGTATCTTTCTTTTTCTCTTTTCTTTTGTTTTTGGTATGTTTTCTTAGTTTAGATTTATTGCTTTCTAGGTTAGTTTTATTACTTTCTTTTTTGAAAAATACAGAAAAAATTGAAAAAATAAAAAATCCAAAAATACGTTCCAATGAATTATAAATCATGCTTCCCTATGCCCCATACTTGGAAAATATTGTTTTGATTCTTCGTATATTATGATAAGCATTGTGGATTAGTTGATCATGATTTGAAGTTTGATTGCTTAGATTTCCTAACATGCGTCAATTTTGCCCAACTGCTTGTGAATATAGTGCTTGACTAGTTGATTTGGTTAGGAGTGTGTGTTAGTTCCTGGTATGTCAATGAATTTGAGAATTGGTTTGCAACTATAAGTAATGTTTATATGACCCAATATTATGCACATTGTGGAGGACGAAGACATTTGTTCTTTTAGGTGGCTTTCAGATGATTGTAGATACATTTGTTCCCTTCTTGCTACCCATGTTGTTGCCTTGACTTTTTGTTGTGTATTAGCCACATTAAAAGCCTATTTTTCCCCATTGGTTACTAGTCCCAAGCTTGGCTTGGGGAGCTATTAGTAAGTGAGGTGAGGGAGTTTGTAGTGTGCTTATTATTTGCACAATTTGGGTGGGTTTTGAGAAGTTATTTTGTTCTTGATCATGTTTATTTTTGATGAGTTTGAAAGTTATATCTTCTAGAGAAAAAAATAAAGTATGATGTTATGAAAAAAAAAGAGAAGAAGTTCAAGGAAAAAAATGGAAAAAAGTGAAAAAATAAGTGAACTTCAATAGAAAAAAAAGAGCAAAAGAAAAAAAATTGTTTAATGTTCAAATGTTCTAGTTGGAGGTTGATTAAAAGAAAGAAAAAATTTTAGATGTTGAGTTTCAATGAAAATTTTCAAGTTTGGAAAATAAAGTTTGTTTATTCACTCCAGTTTTTCATTATTATATCTTATGAGTGAAATTTGTAAGTGTTGGAATTGTTGTTTATGATTGGAGTATATTTGGTGGATTTTTGTTAGAGTCGGTTATGTAGGAGATGTTGATCATTAGTTATTTTGATCATGGGTTTTACTAGGATTTCCTCCCTTAAGCATAGCTTTACTCTCACATTTTCCCAAATATTTCCTACCCTTTACCCTAGCCTTACATAACAAGCTTAAAAGACCTTCCGACCGTGTACATAGAGTTGTGTGAATGTGGAATTAGTTTTTTATCAATGCAAAGAATGATTTGACATATTTCGAGTCGACTAGCAGGTTGAGCGTACATATTTTTAAACACACGAGAGTGTGAGTTGGGAGGGCATTGGTCACATTTAATGGGTTGGTTGGAGAGCGATCGAGTACATCCTTTACTCACTACAAGAAAAATCTCTTTTCGTAGCGGTTATTTCGTAGAGATAGTACATTCGTTACAATATGCAAGTATGTTTGTGAAATAATTAAGGATCGGATGTCGTATCATTTTTACAATCGCAATAGTTTTCCCATATAAAATCGATACAGAAAACATAATAATACATATCAACCCTATT